TATATATATATATATATATATATATATATATATATATATATATATATATATATATATATATATATATATATATATATATATATATTATTTTAAAGGCGACGTCGCTTTGCCTCGACGATGTCGCCTTTTATAAAAATATTATATATATAAAAAATCATATATATATATATATATATATATATATATATATATATATTGAGCGGTATACCGCTCGGTATACTGTATCGTGCCGTAACGAGCGAACGTCGAAACGTTGGTACGGTACGATATTTCAAACCTTGGTTTAAATGTTATTGTTTGTATTGAAGATTGAATTATGATTAATGAAACAAAGAATATAACTATTTTATTTTATTTTTTGTATCCGTACTTCATGGTCAACTACTCGTCTTATTTTTCTTTTCTTGCTTGGACTTATAGGGGCCGTGGATATCTCAATCCTGATGATGTTTACGAGGTTTGTTCTTGTGAATCTCCTATTCAGAGTGTCATTCTTTTTATATGCATCTAATGTTGTCTTAAAACTTTCTATGAATCTATAGCATGTATGCTTCTTTTCTTTTTGCTCAGGAAATAGTAATCAGTTTTTGAAAATCTTCTTTTTTTCCTTCTTGAGTTATGTTGATTTATCGTGGAGTTGTAACTTAGCTTCTTTCCTAATGTCTTGACTATCAGGCAACTTACTTCTGTGTTCATGTATACAAACTTTTCTTAATAATTTCATAGTTTATGTTTGAAATTGTTACAGGCATCCTCTGCTATTTGACTTGATAGTTTTCAGAACTCAAGGTTAAATAAGTTTCAGGATACAAAATTTGGATTGTGTTTGTTGTCACTTATGAGTTCTGTTGTTTCACTTTCACTCATCAATTAAATAACAGACATTTATATCCCATATCCTTAGTGACATGTTTGAAGGCCATTGTTTCGACCTCATCACTAAGTTGCTACTTCGTTTCAACCTCATTACCAAGTTGTACTATTGCGGTTATTTAATTACTACCTGAATTCAGTTTCAATTAGCAGTTACCTTAGTAAATGCTGGGGTTAACTTGCAAGTCGTAGATTTTATTTTTTTTGTATTACCATGACAGTTCGCAATGGCAGGAAAATTTTTTATTCAAATACTTGGGATTTACGGTATTGTTAGTTTTTATTTCTGGATATTATTTTGACAAAGATCCTCTAGGCTACATCATGCTTTCGGTTAAATAACAACCAGACATGTTTCTCTTGCTTAAGTTTAACAAAATAGAGTGGACACCAGGATCAAAATAAAAATAAAGCATACAATGATGAGTCCCTGCTACATTCACAAGATAGTCTTGATCATGTTATTCTCCATATGGCCAAAGGTATACCTACTTTTGGAATTTACGTGGAGGAAACAGATTGGAAAATAGTTTTAGTGTGATTGATCAATAAAGATGTTCTATGCGACCAATAAATTTTATGTTTTAATATTAAATTTTCAAATCTCAAAACCTCTTACATATTATCAGTAATGCAATGAGTGAAGATTAACACTGTTCATGACCATTCTCTGCAGTTATTTACACTTTCATCAGCATGTTATTTAAGCATTATATTTCATTTATTTCTCGAGTTGTTTTCACCTTGAAACAATGTATATTTTGTTGTTCGTTTGTTATCATTTGTTTGAAACATTCTTGTAGGGACTTGTCAGACTTGGCTTCTCCCTTGATTCACCTTCTTTTTTAACAGTCTGTGAGGTACAAAACATGCTTTATTTAACATCTTTGAATGGTTGAGAATATTTTCAGTTAACATTTTTTCGACACCAAATACTTTTTCACTTCTTTTTTAACAGTCTGTGGTGTACAAAACATGCTTTATTTAACATCTCTGCTTGGTTGAGGAGATTTTCAGTTAATATTTTTTGACACCAAATATTTGTAGACAGTCTTAGGTGTGTAGGTTCTTAAGGAGCATAATGTCTAGTTTGAGCCACTGATGTGAAGTTTTGTTGTTGATATTTTGTCGCTGATATTTTGTTGCTATATATATTTTTTATATTACTTTCTGCTTGATCATTTGTTTCAGAGCTTTGATAAGAACAAGAAGGGAATGGTTAGGTTGGATGAGTTCATCTCGCTTTGTATATTTGTACAGTCAGCTCGGTATGCATACTCTTGTAACTGTTATGAATTTAAGCAGTTTGATAATCGTTTTAGCATTAGTAAAGTTGTTTTTTCTTGAGCAAAAAAAGTTTGTCCTGCTTATTTGGTATACCAAATTATGAATCAATTCTGGAATATTAATGATAGCATGACTTATTTAATTTGACAAATATATATATATATATATATATATATATATATATATATTACTGTTTTGGTGCATGTAAAGTTCCAATATGCTCACTGCCTGTCTTTGCTAAATGTCATAATGGAGATAACCAGTTGACTACCATGTATGTTGAACTTGCATAATGGAAAACTCATGAACTAGTTATGTACAGTACATTTGTACCTAGATATGATGTCCAAAATTTGAAATGTGTTAAATCCTGGCAACTACAAACAAAAAATTATGTATGATAACATATACATGTATATATATGACAATTTTTAAGACCTAGAGATGTTATTTAAATCTGAGTTCCAAGCATAAATGGTTAATGTTGTTGTTTCACATTAGCCATTTGGAGTATAAGAATCTTGCTGAAGGAATGTTATTGCATTATATTTAACGTGTTTTTTTGTATGCATGTGTTGTCTATGAATCAAATTGCAAGTTCTGTGCCTGTTTTCTTCCATTTGAAACAAATTTGAAAGATAAATTGGAGCTACAATGAACTTATGCTATAAAGTAACATAAAAATAATATTGAAAATTTAATGCCACTGAAGTTGTTGAATCAATAAAGCTAAATGGTGGGAGACATTTATGTTGTTAACTTGAAATGGTTTGGCTTATGGATTGTTTTTCTGGGTTGAACTTGTATACCTGGTATCATAGTATTCTTTTATTGATGAATTAACATAATTAACACTAAGGAATATTACTGTGCCAAGGATTAACATGCACAATGAAGGATGTGAGGAACTATAGGATTCAACAAGAAAATTTACAATATTAGAGGGGGCAAATATATTGAGGAACATAGACGCTAACATGGATAATGATGGCAAGAAAAACAAAAGATACTATAGTGTCATGTATACAATAAGTATGAAATAACTTATATAAATAATGTATATATTAAGCAACTAATTTCCCAGAAAAAAATTTGAGTGATTTCTACACAGACAATAAATATTTGAGAAACTAGTTAATAAGTAAAAAATTATTAAAAGCTGAATTTGAGAGACCAATGTGCAGAAAACTCAAATTGGCTTTTTGGGGCAGGGGGTGAGGTTATTACTTGAATCACGTACTTTTGGAACAACTAATGCAAAAAAAAAGAAAAAAGAAAAACTGAGAGTGGTTGGTTGAATTCGAAGTCATTAGTAGGTTGAGGTACTAATGTGCAAAACAATCAAAAAAATGAAATGGAGAGGTATTACTATACAAAACAAATTTCTGAAGAACAGACTACCATTGGTGAATCTGAAGTTAAAAGCCATTTGAAGCCTGAACCTTCACAACTATATATATATATATTTGATGATTCAATTTTTGATACTGTTCCACCTCAAGAACCAAGTGGAAGTAAACAATATCCTCAATTCTATGTTGCTATGCTGCCTTACGAAACAAGCGAAAAATATATACCATATAAAAATATTGCATCTGGCAGACTGCAAAGAGACTATAGAGTTTCATTCTGCTTTTAATAGAAATGATCATTTGTTAGAGAGAGCAGGTTAACCTAGATATGTGCATGATTGATTATTATTCGTTAGTCTGGTTCATTTGAAAGAACTGTTTCTCAATTTTAATGTTGAATGTTGATGTCTTCTTTTCTAAAATAACTCTCATCATCTAATGTCAGCTGTTAAAGCTTCCTGGGTCTAGTGGTACTCTCTGTGCTTCTTTCTAATTAGATGGGACTCTTTTGTGTGTGCTCCATCAGTACGAGGTTTTGCTACAAGTTTATAGCATGTGGAGTGGCATTTTATATCATGCAGGTCAGCTAATTCATTTGTTTTCTGTTGCAGTAATTTGTTTAACTCCTTTGATACAACCAAGCAAGGCAGAGTAACATTGGATTTCAACCAGTTTGTGTACTGTAGTGAGTAATTCTTTTCTTGTTATTTAGCATGCAGGTCAGCTAATTCATCTGTTTTCTTGTTATTTCAACCAAGATTAGAAATTCATAATTTTATGGGCTTGAAAAGAATGTTATTTAGGTATGTGTATTAAACTTACAAATGAAATTTACTGTGAGCTAAATAAAACAGAAATCGTGCACCAAGCTTCTTCCTTTAGATTGTATAGCACCGTCCTCATTGGTTTCATTGTGCTTTTGTGCTCAGCGGCCAATTGCCGGATATAAAACTTGCTGATGTGGCGAAGGTCAGTTGCTGGTTGTGGTTCAATCTACTGCATCTCCTTGTAAACTTCTTGTGTATCATTTATCCAACAGTGTAATATAAATGCACAGCTTAGATTCTTGTTCGTCAACATGATGACAGTAATGTGGGCGGTCGAAACCTTTATTTATCTCGTAGTAAACTAAACTATAAACTAGGGCCTTGTATTTATTTCATTGCGGCATCAACAATCTACTCCATGTGGCGCCACTTGGATAAAGGACGAATTATATTTCTGCTATTTGGAATTGGCCCAAAGGACTATTATTCTTGTTGGACATTGTGAATTGTTGTTAGCAGGGTGTGTTCTATTCTTCATCGGAGGTCAGAGTGGTCATCCATCTACCATCCATCGTAAACGATGATGGTGATGCTGAACTTTCTTCGCTACATCAATAGCCAAAGTACTTGTGCATACAGTGGCGCGACGCCGTGGCTCGCATTAATTTCTTCCTGGCATGATCATGCATCTTGGAATCCCCCGATAGGGGCCGGGACCATGGACTAATCAGAAAAAGGAACATATATGAGACAACTCGTCCCCTCCTCCACCATCAGCCCTTGTCTTATTGTTCCTCCCTCCCCGCTTACCTTTCATTCTGATGAAGCGACAAGCTCGCGGGCTTTATGTCGATTAAACGAATCTTTCTCGATAAAGGTTGAGAGATTCCCGCAAGTAGGCTCTCCTTTCCTATCGATCCCTCAGACGAATGATTGCGGTGCGCATGAGGACGTGAGGCTGCGGTTTAGTGTATTTGTTGCGTTCTACACCGCTACTTTTGTCTTTTTGGCTTCTTCCCTCCTGGCCACAGATCGGGTGGGGTTGCGCAACAGAGATTCGGGAATCAGACGGCCCTCGTCACTCCTCCATCACAAGAGCCGCGATGGACACAACTGATGCAACCGCTTCGCTTCTTATCGCCAAGACATGCTCGTGGTCAATGATCGACCGCGCCGGGGCCCGGCCCGTGCGCGGGGTATTCACGTCACTTAACAACGAATGTCGGGGAGTTGAAGTCGGTCGGGTGCGGTCTCATTACCCGCAGCTTCATTTTCCTCCTCGGCTTTCGCGGAAGCGCGCGGCCGTGCGGTGCGACGCGACTGGATCTCCATCCGCTTCCTCCCTAGTGGGGAAACCCTAGAGATTTGGGGGAGTAAGCCCGAGCTCTTCCTTGTTCTTCGCTTCTTCGTTCTTGGGGCTCGAGGCCTCCGTCGCTGATTGGTCTCCGAGGATGGCTTGCCGATGCGTTGTTATCCAAGAAGTGGAGGAAGGGGAGGAACTGAAGTCCAAGGGTAGGGTTTCATCAAGAAGATGCCGCACGGAGATGATGTTTCCGATGTATGCGATGGGGTCTTTCAAGCCGAATTCCATTGCTCGCACGATTCTTGATACCGCCGGCGACCCCATCTGGGACTCCGTGAGGGCCGACGCCAGATTCGAGGTCATAATTATTAGCTCTTTTTGATTTTTTTTTCCTTTCTTTTTTGGGGGTCTGGTACGGTGTTTTAGACTTGAAAGTGGGTAGAGAGAATAGAGTTTTGAATTCGAAATTAAACTTTCTGATTTACGCGATTTCAGTTCATTTGGACCAGTGAACTCACTATCTTATCTTCGTCCTAAGGGTTGATTTTGTTAAAGGAATTGTTTTTTAAATGGAAAAATGATCCCAAGTCCACCTATTGCATTGTGTGTTGAGTCCTTTCTGGGTTCAGCAAGTAATCATGATTGTATATTGTCATGACCAGTGAATTAGTTGGTGGGCGGCTCCCTAAGTTCCAATTGTCGTTCCTTTTCAGTCTGTTGAATCCCATGACATTAAAGGTGAACGGAATCCATCTACTGCTGTCATAACTCTAAACGTATGTGTTTAACTGTGAGCACACTAGTTTGTTTCTTGGGCAAGAATCTTCTTATGCTTCTAGCTTCTGTTTCATCTGTACTCACTGAATATTCTTCTTATGGTTCTTATATATGTTCCTGTGGTGCATTGATAATATCAAACTGTCCTTGTCACAATTATGAGTTTGTTTTGAAAATTTTCAGGCCGACAAGGAGCAAATTTTGAGCAGTTTCTTGTATGCTAGTGTCTTGTCCCATGATTGTTTGGAGCGTTCTTTGGGTTTTGTGCTTGCCAATAGACTTCAGAATGCAACACTTTTGGCTACTCAACTAATGGATATTTTTGATGATGTCATGATGAATGATCGAGGTATTCAAAGTTCAATTCGCCTAGATGCTCAGGTGATCCCTTTATGGTGTGATGGAAGCATCTAAGTTCGTCTTTTTGTTTATGTGACCATGTGAGAAATGTTTTGCTGACAATAAATAGCTGTGATTTTTCCTTGTAGGCATTCAAGGACAGGGATCCTGCTTGTGCATCATACAGCTGGGCATTATTGTACCTTAAGGTAGAATGTTCTTCTATTGTATAAGTGAAGAATTTTCAGGAAGTAAAGAAGAGTAAACCACATATATTGGTTTAATGATTAATGGGTTGTTCTTTGTCATTTTGTTTTTGTGCCTTTTGTTGTGTTTTGCTTTATCTGGTTTTGAACACAGGCTGATATACAGCCATGTAATTTTGTTTGTTCTACTGTACTAAGTACTTTTCTTTATCAATATATTGCATTAATGACTTTGATGCTTGCTAATTCACTTTCAGGGCTACCATTCTTTGCAATCATATCGGATAGCACATGCTTTATGGAACCAAGGGCGCAAAATTCTAGCCTTGGCATTGCAAAGTCGAATTAGTGAGGTGATTCATACAACCTATTACTATATTCTTTTAGATGCATTATTGATACCCAAGATGTTATTATGGTTTGCCCTCCTAATAAATTTCTGTTGGATGTGTTGTCCTCCTCTAGGTTTTTGCTGTGGATATACACCCAGGTATTGATCAATTTTTAAGATTATTTTGTGGAAGCCATTTCATTTATTTCTTTTAATTATTTGCAATTATTAGGGGTTATGAAGATTAGATTTCTTACCTAGATCTATGTTGGTTCTTTTATTTTCTTTTCAATTTATAATTTTTACGCTTAACATTATCCTGTGTTTTTTCTTGTATTCTCTACCTTTTGTTCCCCTCTTTTTTGTTTATTTTTTATTTCATTTTTGTTTTCCATTAAGGTGATTTACATGTCCTTTCTTCTTCTCCTTTTTGCTTTATTTGGCAATCTTTGCCACCCTGATAAGGTGATTCATATCAGGCTTCGTAATTTCGTACCGTACCGGAGTATCGAGATTAGCTCGATATGGTACGGTACGAGCGTACCAAGCAGTATGCATATGCTTGGCGCGCGCACACACACACACACACACACACACACACACACACACACACATATATATATATATATATATGTATATATATGTATATATATGTATATATATGTATATATATGTATATATATGTATATATATGTATATATATATGTATATATATATGTATATATATATGTATATATAGTAAGTTAAAAAATAAGAAAAAGGGTGATGTCATCGAGGCAACATCGCCTCGTTTCTTCTCCCCGCGAAGCCTCGGCGACGTGCTTCTTCTCCCCGCACAGATGAGAAGTCGCTGACGACGCTGAGGCCTCGTCGCCGACGACGTTGAGGCCTTATCGCCTCAAACGAGGAGGAGGCGTCATCTCATCTGCGGTGTCTATCGAGGGAGAGCAGCGCTGGATCTCTAGGTTCCCCCTTTTCTTTGACGGTCGAAATCGATCGTTACCGATCGATTTCAGGCGGTAACATGGCAGAAACAGCCCCAATCGACAGTACCGTCCCCAATCGACAGTACCGCCTAGTAGCGGGCGGTCCGCATACCGGTCTACTGGAGGACTGGTACGTACCGCTCGGTACCGGTAGTATCTTTTAAAATTAAAATCCTTGATTCAGATAACCTTTGTTACTTCATTTTCTTGGGGAAACCATGTTCATCCACACCAGTGTTACTATCACTAGTGATGCTATGTTATGTGAAGCTTTACTAAGTGATATTGGATGGGAAATGCTTAAATTGATAGACATTCTTATTTGCTATGCTATTTATCCTATGGTATAGTTTCTGTTTAATGCCAAACATGAGTTAGCAATTAGATATGAGTGGCTTAAGTTGAACAATGCCACCTGATTATGTTTTTTTTATTAATCTATTATTGTCTGAAAACATTGGATATCAGTTAGCTGCTAAGAATACAAGTGTGATAAAGGAGATTCTTGGAGAATCTAAAGGTAGACGTGTAGCTTTAAGAGATGGTGGTGGTGTAAGGAAATTTAAAACACAACTATTAAAAGATCTTGTTTATAGAACTATATAACCTAGGAAAAGTTTTTAAAATATATAACAACTAAAAAAGGAGTACAAGAAACTTTTAGTATGATAGAATATAAGTCACATGTTAATTTTTATAATAAGCTAGATATTAAGGATGGGGAAAATGATATTTCTGAATCTCTGAAAATAAAGAAAAGGCAAAGATTTAAGTAATATTAGGTGTATAAAAGATGAAAATTAAAAATACTTGTTAATGATATAGAACCTAAGGATTGATGGAGAAATTATTTAAAATATTTAATCTGCATTCTACAAACAACTTAGCTTTAGAGATAGAAATAGTAGTTGGTTTAGTAATCATATAATTGTCCACAAAATTAGAGCAAATGAGATTAAGGGAACTTTGAGAAGGATTAAAATACATAAGAGTGTACCTGATGACATTCCTATTAGAGTGCTAGTTTAGAGATAAAGTGATAGTTTCGTTGACTAATTTATTTAACAAAATTTGAAGTATTAGAAAGATGCATGATAAATAAAGGAAAAACTTTCTAGTACTAATTTGTAAAAATAAGGATGACATGCAAAGTGTCTCTAATTGTAGAAGAGTTAGGATATGAAACTAATATTTCCAAGAATCAATCTAGTTTTATATTTGAAATGAGAACTATTTATTTAATAAGATAATCAATGAGAAAGTATAGAAAGAAGAATAAAGATTCATAGGCTGCTTTTATAGGCTTAAGAAAAGCCTACAATAAAGTTCATGGGTTTTAGAAAAGAAATATGTATCTAACTAATTTCGTATTACTATAGAATTATATCAAGGATTAACTTTTAGTCCTTATCATTTTGGCAATAGATAAATTTGTTATTTATAGGATAGACCTTTGTGGTGTATATTATTTGCCAATGATTTAGATGGGTGCTTGGGCACTCGGGCGAGGCGAGGCCA